GGATTAAATTGTGATTTGAAAATAGGCATTGCGACACCATGCACGACGCTGTTTGTTTCAGCTCAGCCAGCCCAGGACAGATTCCTATCAATTTCAGTCTCTCCAGACATTAAATATGATATGGGCAGAATGTGTAGGTGCATAAAGCGGTAAAATATTGCAAATTCATTATACACGGAGGGTTGCTTTGGAGCCATAAATGTGTAACAAGCAGGGAGATTGAGATTGAAATTGAAAAAGGGTTTGGAAAAAAGGAGAAAAAAGAAGCCAGTCATAAAATTTCTTGCACACGCGTTGCAGCCTGCATCCCAGCAGTGAAATATCCTCTCTGCCTCTACATTTGATTTCCAACTAGACTAGTTCTGTCTGGAACAGGAACACAAGGACTGCAGGCTTTTTCGCTTGCCTGTGCTACCAATCTGAGTCCTCTATGGATAAAACCCCCTTTAAGTTCCCCTTTAACACCGGATTGCATTGCTAGGGTTAGAGACGTAGCTGTGTCATAATGAGAGAAAGAGAGTGACACGTTCTCATGCAAAATTCATAGTTTAGTTTAATAAGGCTGATAATGATAATTAGGCTCCCCGATGGAAGCGTTTTCTCTCATAACAGGAAAATTTCTCAGTGCCATCTGACATTATCTCTCTCAGCAAATGGATATGGGTGGCTCCTTAAGATCCTGATGAATAAACAGAAGAAGCACGGCCTCCGGCGAAGACTAGAAGAGAGAGCTGGCAGTTTAGATGGCACTGTGCTCTGCAGAATTTTACACGTCAATTAGGCTCTGTTTTCTTTTTCTTGCCTTTTTTTTTGGTCTTGACAAGCACTCACTTTTTATACTTGCCTGCAGCCTCTGTTCCATTTTTGCAAAATCATTAAGTCTAGCAGCCTGCCATACTCAATCGGCTACAATTGGAGGAGAATGTGCTTGAATCTTTGCTACACTCTGATGAGCAAAGCGTTTAGCCAAACTATAGGACTATTGTATAAAACTGACTGTTAGTAATTACTGGAGAAAATTACCAGAGCACACAGTTCAGTGTGTAGCAGTGAAAAAAATCATCATTGGTGGTGCTTTTTTTGATGGCATTGGGCTGTGGAGCAGTGGAACTGCGTTCCCTGTAGAGCTGGAGCCTTTGGAATGAGTTCAACTTCAGTACCTCACCTCACGCATGCTATTTTGGCTGAACTACTCACAGCAATGTAACATCCCAAAAGAGTACACTCAACATAATGCTGGGTTAACAACAACCCAATTTGGGCCATATCCATAACCCAGCATAGCAGAACACCCAATGGGATCATTTTAACCCTTTTATCAGGTTGCTATATGAATTTACTTTGTTTGCTTGTATTTTATTTATTTATTTATTTATTTATTTTACATTTTGTATCTTTCACTTTCAAAATCAACATAAAATCAAAGTATTATGCAGTGACAAACTGTTAAATTACCAAATCAAATCTTTATCTATTTTAAGCTTCTTTTCAGTTTGCTGCAGATATTCTGGCAGGTTTGTTCGAACCTGTATATAGAAAAGATGACAAAATTTAAACAATAAGACACAACTGACAAACATTTATCACTCAAAAACAGCTTGTCCAAGGTAATGAAGCTACCACACATACTTTGAGAAAAGAGATGATGAGGTCTTTTCAAACCAAGTTTGCTAGGTTAGCTATGTAATTTAGTCGGTAGGCTAACATTAACCACATAAAATACAATTATCACATAGATAATGTTAATGTCTAGTTAAAAATGACCTAATATTTAGCTATAAATGTTGTCAAATGTCATATAAAGGGCTACAGGTACCAGTGGCCCTGTAGTATGACAGTGGAACCAAACATCATAGCTATTTTATCAGTCTCAAATCATAACAAGGAAAAATCCAGTTAATAATATTGGGTGTTCTTGAAATAAAGCACCTATTTTGTTGGTTTCACTGAAGACAAAGTAGTTAAGTGTGCATATGAAGAGGAGTCGTTTAACCGACTCTTCTAACTGGTGGTGCTGTAATTTGAAAAATAACCCTTTAGCTGAGCTGCTGTTTTGACACTCTCACTAACACAAAGGCTGGGCTTTACAAGAACTACCTAAAAACTACCCAGAACTGTGAAAACAACCCAACAAAATGACTCAGCAGGCCCGACCCAGCATTTGGGTAGAAAAACAACCCAGCAGTTTTTAAAGTGTAGAGACTGTAATGCTGTGTTTACATGTAGGCGTTAAAGAAACATCATTCCACATTTCAGAGTCGGTGATGATACACAGCTGACGCCAAAAATAAACCATATAAACGTTGCCATAGTGATAGCATTGCTGGTGTTTCTGCTCATGTGCTGGACAATGGTTTTTTTATCCTCCAAGTGTTTTGAACAATGTTTGTAATAGTTTGCTTTTGTTGAAGTTCAGGAGTTAATATAGATGAACAGGTACTTCAACTATGAGCATTCGGCTCAGTGTTACCAAAAACAGAAGCAGTCTGTCAGCAGAAGTTGGAAGCTTACTTATAAAAAATCTAAATGCAGCACTGCTGCAGCAAACGAGGGACAAATTCCCAAATGCCCTTGTTTCCAGAGTGAATGTTGGATGAGCAGGTGTGTACAAAATTATGAACATTATTTATGCCATTGCCCTATTTTGGTTTTGAAAAGTCATAATCTTGAGGAAATAAGTCATTATTTCAAACTAATGAGTCACAGTTTGAACCAGAATCAGAGCTGGATAAAACATTTTTCTCCTACTTTGCGGAAATGGGCTTTTCTACAAAAAGCATATGAGGCAGACACATGCTTATATTGCACTGGTCATATGTTAATTATACAGTTGTACCTGTTACCTGTTTTCATTTGCATGGAAGCTGTTAGTAGACACCTGCTCTATTGGCCACCCACACTGTCGCAAAGTATTAACAGACTGTCAGTAATTAGCTTCTCTTTAAGTTAATCTGCCCCATAATGTAGAGTGGTATGCAAAAAAATTAACACCCCTGTTTTTTAAATGTTCTGTTGGTTTTCTAAATGAAAATAAGTTAACACATCTACAGGGAATACATTTAAAGATGGTATTTTTATTGTAGTTTCTGTTTATCTGAGTTTAACATGTTGGAAAAAGGATAGAACATAAAATGTAAAATTACATATAACATTTTGTGTTTTATTTTTTTCATTGCTAAATTCAGTAAACAGTAATTGTGCATTAAAATGTGCGAAGTGTGTTCCTGTTGGAGAATGTGTACTAATGTCCACCTAGAAAATCAACAAAATGTGTAACTTGATCAGGGTGCCCAAACTTGCGCATATGACTATGTCTGTAAATTCAGCTGAAGCCTAAAGCTAATAATACCTATAACCCTAATCTTAATCTAAACCCAAAACTTAAACCTAACCCTAAACCAAATTTTCAAATCATAACCTTAGTCAGCTGAGTTTTACCAAGTAGTTTGTTAAGATTTTCAGCTTTTGTTAATAAAAAATAAATACCTTCTTTAATTGTTGTGATTGCAAAGACTGTAAGTCATCGTTTATAAACAGTGTGACCTCAATGCGTCTCATGCAACTGAGAGGCTCTGTGTTGACTATGTATAAAGCCGTACTCTGAGATAACCTCAAACCTCTTGTTAATTTTACAAAGTACCTAGTCTTGCAAAAAAAAAAAAAATAGGAAAAAGAAAGAGTTCACTCGCTATATCTGGAACACACGTTTTCTGCCATGGCACTTAATTAATGAGGCAGGTGTTGCAGCAAGCGCCTGGGTAGACACCAAGGTGGTATATGGAGGGAGAGGAGCAGAAGGTGTGAGTAATGTGCCAGTCCCTCTGCCGGGAAGCCAGTGATTTAGGGGCTTGCTGGCTCCTGCGGCTCTGGTGGAGATTCCTCGGGCCGGAGGGGAGAGGAGGGGGCTCTCCAGGTAGCTGTGGCATAGCTAAAGAACCCTACTAAAGACGTGCCCATCCCCCCCAGAGACTTCATGACACAGCTGTTAACTCCCATTTCAGCTACACTTTCAAAACGGTCTGGAGATCGTTTGGCCAGTGTGATGGAGTGGGCCTTGGGGTCATTCCAGAGTCCTTTTAACTCTTAGAAGAGTTATTTCTCTAGTCTCAAGTCAAGTCAAGAGGCTTTTACTGTCATTTCATCTATGTACAAGTACACAGTGGAGCGAAATGACGTTCCTCCAGGACCAACATGGTGCAACATGGAACAAAATAATACAGTACAGACAAAGTGCAAACGTGCAGATGTAAGTGTGCAAACAATAAACTAGAAACAATACAATAAATCTGATAAATAAAACAGACATTAGACACAGTAAACAGACAGGACAGCGCTGACACAGCACTTATTTCTGAGCATGAGGTAGTGAGAATAAGGTGCAGAGATATTTAACATGCTGTGATCTGTGAGTTAAGCTGTCAAATTATGACATGCGTGAGCTCAGCAGTTACTGAGGTAGAAGTGTACAGTACTTGAGTAGAATACAGTATTAGCAGCAAAGTTCCAGCCAGGCAATAACTGTGTCATTTGTTACTCTTACATTCAGTCTACAATGTGTGTCCACAAGTTCAAGTCTTGGCTTTTGATGCTTTTCCGTTTGTTTCAATATCAAAAATGTAAAAGCTGTTTCTCTTTCCACCAAAGAAGGTTTTATGTGCAGCAATAACTTTTCATCAAATTCGGATCATCATAAAATATCTCTTTTCATGCTTAAAACAAATGTGACATTGGCTGAAAGTTTAGTATCTTCAACAGATTTTCCCCACTTGTTTCAGCGAGCCACAAGTGAGAATTAATTAAAATGAAAATTTACATGCTTTTGTTATCGCTGGCAATAACTGTGACTTCTAAGGGTTACACATCTGCTGGGCTTGTTCTGATATTCAGGCTTTTCACAGCGTGAGAAGGGAATAAAGCCCACCCCGCTGCTGTTACCGTATGTTGTATTGAGGAGATCCCTCAATTATTCAACTGCTTTTTGTGTGTGTGTGTTTTTCTAGGTGTGATGGGGGAGTACGAGCCCAAAATCGAAGTGCATTTTCCACCGACGGTCCTGGCTGCGAAAGGAGTGACGGTGCGACTGGAGTGCTTTGCCCTGGGGAAGTAAGTAGTGCTTAAGGAATTCAGTCTCAGTGTCTCCTCCACACCACCCCCCCCATCCTTCTACCGCTCATCCCCATCATGTCACTTTCAAGGTGACACCCTGAAAGACACATGAAGTGCACCACACTCCCTGAGTCGAGACTTGGCTCCAGCCTACTGTGTTAATAGTCATAATTGTGAACCGTTTATCCTGTCACAGCTTTGTTTTGGGCAGAAGCCTCGGTTCCTTCCCCTGAGGAGGAGGAGGAACCGAGTGAAATGCAACCAGGCTAAGACTATTTTTATGGTTCTGATGTCATATGAGCATAATCCAGCAATACCGAAGTGCATGCAGCACTTGGTATATCAAAGCAGCAGTTACGCTTATTGGAATCTTATTGGAATAGGAACGAGTCTAGGATTGAGCCCTGGGGAACACCATGTTACAGTAATGGTTCACAAGGGGGTAAAGAGATCAGAGAGTGGAATAGAAGAGAGAGGAAGGGTTTGCGGGGTGAGTGAGAGAGAAAGAGAGAAGAGAGAGTGCAAGGAGGCAAAAAAAGAGAGAGAGATCTTTGCACACCCGGCTTTGTGGAGTGCTTTTAATCTCCATTATGTCCACGTTTGGCCAAGGATCCTTCAGTGACAAATGGAGTTGGTCAGTGCAAGCAGACAGCCAGGAGGAAGAAAAGCACTCTGACTAGTGTGTTTACGGCGAGTTATGTGCAGCGGAGGCCTCACTGTAGCGTCATTAAAAGTGGATGCATCCTGCCATGGCCTGCAGCTGACTAATGCAAAGAGCTGCATCTGTTTAGAAGCGTTCTGAGCTGCATCTCTGAAATGCATATGTTGATAGTCCTCATACCAAAGATTGCTGAAAGCTCTCTAGCATACTAACCCAAGTTTTTTACCCCCTGTTTTTATGGAGGTTTCAATAGAGGCCTATACATCAAAGTGAAAGTAAAAGCTAACAAAAGTAGAACACATTAGTGAGGATGTACAACAGATACTGCAACTATACAACAGAGACACCCTAGAACAAAATGAATGCCTTGCTTTTGCATTAATATACCTAGCGTCTGTACCGAGCTCTATTTTTATTCTTGTGTGATCCTTCCTTTTATTGTAGATGCAGTTATGAGTCACTCTGGGAATAAGACTGTCTGTCATTATGAAAAATTACTAAACAACGCGAAGAAATATTTCATTCGATTATGTGTCATTATTTTGAGCTCTATTACATGTAAACTGAAGACGACTGAGATGAAACGAAGCTCTTAGATGAGGAATTTCCAAAAAATCTTCAAGATGGTGTCACTGCCAGTGCATATTAATTCATTGCGCTGCAAAAAAAAACACTTGTAATGCCTATGTAATTTCTATGGCAACAAGAACAGTTCTAAGATGAATGTTCTGAAAATATGTTGGTGTCAGTTTTGCTACCCTTTTATCTGTGATGCAGAACCAACAGAACGTTTTGCATAAAACAATACAGCTTCTCATTTTGGCGCATAATCCTGTGTCACCATGCTTCTGTTCTGTTTATATTCATTATTTGCTCTGAATTAAGCATCTACATGGCCTATCTTAAAAGCAAACAGCTTCTAATCTCCACTGCTCTAAGCACCCAGTAATCGTTTACAGTGTCTGCACAAGCTCTCTTTGTGAGGGAAAGTCATTTACAATTAATTATCCACATTAGAATAATAAGTCATTACTTAAACCTATAGACATTGCTCTTCGTATTCGTGTGCACCTCTCTTTCTTCAGTGCAGTCACACTTCTCAGGGTGTTAACATTGCCGCTCAGCAGCGAGTGAATTGCATGTCTCTCTGTCATCTAAACCAACGTTTCTTATCCCAGGTCCACTAAATAATATACAGATACTCCATACATCCCATTCCAAAACCATGGGCATTAATATGGAGACCAAGCTACTCCAGTTACTCTTCTTGGAAGGCTGTCCACAGTCTGTGGCCAATTAGTCAAAGGAGCGTTGTGAGGTCAGGCACTGATGTTGCATGAAAAGTCGGTCAGGGCTCTGTGCAGGCCACTGGAGTTCCTCAATTTGTCAAACCATGCCTTTATGGGCCTTACTTTGTGCCCAGGCACAGTTATGCTGGAACAGAAAAGGGTCTTTTCAAAATTATAATTATCTGTAAATAACTGTCTAAAATGTCATAAAAGCATATCGTGACCCTTCACTGGAACTAAGGAGTCTAGTCCAAACTCTGAAAAACAGCCCCAGCCCATTATACCTCCTCCTCCAGACTGTTGGTGCTGGTGCTTAACTGTTGGTTCCGGTAGGTAACGTTCTCCTGGCATCCACCAAACCCAGATTCATCTATCCGACTGCCAGATAGTGAAGCATGATTCATTGCTCTGGAGAACACATTTCCACTGCTTCAGAGTCCAGCAGTCGTTTGCTTTACACCATTCCAGCCGACGCTTGGCATTGCGCATAGTGATCTTAGGCTTGTGAGCAGTTGCTCAGCCATGGAAACCCATTATGTACACCCATCCCAGTGTACAGCTCTTGTGCTGTTGCTTTCACAGGCAGTTCGGAACTCCGTAGTGAGTGTTACATCAGAGCATAGGCGATCAGCTCTCGGCAGCCCTGCTCTTTGAGTTGGACCGCATTGTGGCAGTGCTTACAGTTGACCAGGGCAGATCTAGCAGGGCAAAAAACGTACGAACTGACTTGCGGAAAAGGTGACATGCCATGATAGAGCTATGTTTAAAGGCACTGAGCTCTTCAGTTGGACCCTTTATACTGCAGGGTTATGTACTTGATTTTATAGACCTGCTAGCAGTGGGTGTGGCTGAAACACCTGACCTCATTAATTAGAGTTGGTGTCAGCCATATAGTGTACCTGCTACATCTGTTTTTATCCATGTGACAACAGTTCATTTTTATATATAGTTCCATTAGCTTTGTAGCTCCACTGCGTAACAAAGGAACTTTGCACACCAACCCTGGTTTGCCTAATCACCAGCAATTGAGGTGGAGGAGAAAATGAACTATTGCTTTAAAATGGTTATGTTGGAGCATGAAAATAAACAACACGCAAAGAAATGTGCATGCATGGCCACTCCAGGAGAGGTACTGGGAAACACTGATCTAAACCTAATTTGGCGCTGATGGCTTTGTGTCCTCCAGTGGACTTTACTTCTCACCCCTGTACCTCTAAATGAATGATTTATCAATGCTTCTTATTAGGAAATGTCAATCTTTATATAGGCACAGGGGACTGAAATTGAACTTCAGATTGCTTTTAGACCTGCCCCACACTGTCAGTCAGTATGTAAGATGCCGTCAGATGGTCAGGAGAGGTCTTTGTGTGTCGGCTAACAGGCTACAGTGTTTATTATCAATAGAGTGTCCATTGCAGTGGAAATGTCTGCAGGGATGGCTTTCAATGCCAGTTTTGTGCTGAATGCTTTCTAAAGCCTGAGCAGTGATGTGTGGCCATGAAGACATTGGCTGAGGACCCTTAGGAGGAGCTGTTTCATCCATTCTGACATTTTGCTGACAGAAATCTGAGTGAATTGCATTCCACCATCCAATAATCACTCTGCTGTTACGCAGTCCAGTCTGAAGGTCATTGGTTTAATTTTGCCTGTGTTCATTTGTGGAGATGGCTGTATCAGTTGTTGCTTTTAGGGGAATAAAAGTGCATCATAATGTATTGACCTGAATGTTGTGATTTGCTAAAATTCTATTTTTATATTATTTTTTTTCTAGATTTCTTTAGCTTTCTGACTTATCTTGTTATTAGGTAATCATTTTAAACCTGGAAACAACTGGAAAATGTACAATCCCATTTCCAAAAAAGTTGGGACGCTGTGCAAAATGTAAATGAAAACAAAATGCAATGATGTGCAAATCATTTAAACCCTATATTTATTTGAATATAGTACAAAGACAACAAATCAAATGCTAAAACTGAGAAATTCAATTGTTTTTTGAAAAAAAAAAATATATATATATAGCAGCAACACTTTCCAAAAAATTTGTGATGGTGGCATGTTTACCACTGTGTTTCATCACCATTTCTTTTAACAACACTCTGCAAGCATTTGGGAACTGAGGAGACACTGCTGTAGTTTTCTTGTTCTTATTTGATACAGGATTTCAGCTGCTCAACAGTTCAGGGTCTATTTTGTTGTTGTGTACCATCATGGATGCTGGCTTTTGAACTGTGTGCCGATAACAAACTTGACAGTCTTAAGCCTGGAGGACACAGTGTCCATGATTTCCAAAAAAGAACTTCAAATGTTGATTCATCAGACCACAGCACATTTTTCCACTTCCCCTCAGTCCATCTCAAATGAACTCAGGCCCAGAGAAGGTGGTAGTGTTTCTGGATCCTGTTTATGTACAGTTTCATCTTTGCATTTTAGAGTTTTAACTTGCATTTGTGGATGCAGTGATGAACTGTTTTCACAGACTGTGGTTTTCAGAAGTGTTTCTGAGACCCTGCAGTGATTTCCACTACAGAATCATGTCTGTTTTTAATGCAGTGCCGTCTGAGGTCCCAAAGATCACGGCCAGCAAATACTGGTTTTTGGCCTTGTCCCTTACATACAAAAATTTTTCGCCATTTTATGTTGAGAAGCATTATTCTTGAATTGTTGCACTACATGATTGTGCAGTCTTTCTTCAGAGTGGTGAACCCCTCCTCATCTTTACTTCTGAAACACTCAGCCTCTCTGAGATGCTCTTTTATACCCAATCATGTTACTAAGCTATTATCAGGTTAACCACCAGGTGTTTTAGCATTACACAATTTTACCCATCTTTTCTTGCCCCGTCCCAACTTTTTTGGAACGCGTTGCTGCCATCAAATTCATTGGGCATACATTTTTCAAAAAACAATAAAACCTTTCAGTTTTAACATTTGATATGCTGTCTTTGTACTAATTTCAATGAAATATAGGGTTTAAATGATTTGCATATCATTGCATTTTGTTTTCACTTACATTTTGCCCAGCGTTCCAACTTTTTTGGAAATGGGATT